CTGAACACCTGCAGTCAGCTACCACTTCTTTTTCAAAGAACATACAGGGAAGACACTTCTAGACAGGACAATGGCTCCTCCTCCTTCTCCTCCTCCTCCAAAGTTGTTTCCCTGTGGAGAGCATTTCAATTTTTCTGGTCTAATGAGATGGGATTCATATTGTTTATCTGTGTCTCTGTGCCGTACTAGACATGCTGAGAGCCAGCAAACATCAAGCATTTCCATACGGGCTTTCTGAAGAATACAGTCTCCACCCAAAGATGCAGTGAATAGTAGTGAGGAGAAAAACTACTGTACTTAAATTAATTTCTTAAATTGTTATTATAGGTACACATTAATTAATATTCTATGCCAGCAGAAAAGAACGCACTCATTCCCCCCAAAACTTCAAGGTCCATTTCCAAAGAACTAGTGCTTCAAGCTAAAACTGTCAATCAATTTTGGGAGTTTTCATAGATTAAGATTAATTATATTCTGTAACAAACTTTATAATTTTTCATCTATGTCATAATTACTCATTCTTGTACATAACCATTTTGCCATTGCCTGAAGCAGCATGGTTCAAAATGTCAAGGATGATACCTTGAGTTAAAAGGCATGTTCATTTATACTGTTGCAACAGATGATCCTTAATAAAAACTATAATCTCGTAAACTTGCTCATTCATACTAGGATTCCATAAAGCACGTACTAAATTAATGCAGTTGACTGATTTGCCCTATGGCTGTATGCGGAAAAAAGATTGCTGTTGTTACAGCATTCAATCACTTCAGCCTCTTCATGATCTAATGGATATCATTTCATTAGAATTGTCTGTCAGTAGCTGCTTCTTCATGAAATCTCAAGACTTGGTGGGGGATCCATTTGTTCCAAGGGGATGTTAGCAAGCCTGGGAAATCTTAAAAAAAAAAAAAGCCATTTTGGAAAAAGGCAGTGGCAAAGCACTTCTATAATACTCCCAAGAAAACTGCCTAAATGCAGCTGCAGTGAGCTTACTTTACTCAATAGCATCTTAATATGTTTACTTTCTTTTTTGTAGGATTAATAGTGGAAGCCATAAAAGCCCTGACATGTTTCTTTGGGCATTTCTGTACCTTGAATGTGTGGAAATTTAGCCATCACTAGGAGGCTGTAGAGCAAGGCCAGGCTTGTGGTTATTGTCCCAGCAACAAAAAGTCCAAACACAGCACTCACAAGATCGTCAGGAGTGTAGATAACCTCAGAGGAGTTCTGCTCCTAAAAGGAAAACAGAGGGGGAAAAAGAAGAATAAAAACTGTATTTGGAATTGAGATAAAGCAGTTCATGAAGTTCTTCATACTGTCTCTTTCAACTAAAGGAAACTCAATTCAGCCTTTAACCTGCCTTTAGAATAGATAGAAAAGCTCTTCAATTTTAAGGTATTTCTGGGATC